CTCGGAAACTACAACTAATCCAGAATGCGGCAGCTAGACTGGTGACTGGGGGCGGCCGCCGAGACCATATAACACCGGTCTTGAAAGACCAGATGGGCGGGGTATAAATAATAAATTATTATTATTATTATTATTATTATTATTATTATTATTGTTTGTTTTGTTTTTTAAACCCAGCCTGAAGAACTATTCTAGGGAACTTGAAAGCTTATGCACAACTTTGTGACCTCTCAGTTGATCCTCATAAATATATTTGGCTACTGTTAGAGGTCCCTCTTGCCTCTAACAGCCCAACATGGCTTCCTGTATTTTCCAAAGCTACTTAGATTTGTAAGTAATACACCTAAAAGTGTATGGAGATGTTTGAAGATACTGGCATCAGATAAGTACCCTTTCATGAATGCAAGGACTGCCACAGAGAACTTTTAATTGTAAACTCTGGATCTGTATGATAAAGCCTTTGGGCACTTCCAGACCATTGCTGGTTTTGGGTGGGATTTCATCACATACTGGCAAATGCAGGCTATGTGATTATAGTTGATTGGCAGGTCTTTTGTAGCAAACCCACTTTACCAGAAGATCGGACATTACTGTGACAAGGAAAGTGTCCTAAAAATGCGCTGGAAAATGCAGGATTGCTTTGGCACAGTATCATCTAACCTCCCCGCAAACCAATTAGAATGAATGCACATTAAATAGCCAATGCCATCCAATCTTCTTGCAAACAAATTGGGAGGAACGCTCAATAAATAGTCAGGTACAGCTGGAGTAATGGATGGTGTGTTGTGGAAGTGCTGTGTTTTCCACACAGAATGAAGTAGCAGGGGCAGCTGATCTGGCAAACATGGGGCATGATCAAGTGAAAATTGGATGCATTGACTGTGGCTTGAATCAGGACAAAGGGTTTTTCCCCACACTACATTTGGTAATTAGCTTACTAATGCCAGGATGTCTGTTTTACCACCAGCTACCGTTTTTGTGAATAAGTACTGTTCACAACATAATTATCACTGTCTGAAATGTCTGCATTACGCTTCCCTCTGACCTCACTGTTTCCCCGCCCCACAACTGAAGTGTATATATTCTGTAATTTATGAAAGTGCCTCATGTATCTGATGAAGTGGACTGTAGCCTATGAAAGCTCATGCCGTAATAAATGTGTTGTGATGCAATCCTAACAATGTCTACCAGAAGTATGTACTACTGAACTCACTGGGTCTTACTCCCAGGTAAGTGGGGTTAGGATTACAGCCTTCGGTTGCTTCCAGATTACCTGTTTATTGAGCATTCATCCTGATGGCTCTTTATTGTGAATTCTGGTTGGTTTGTGGGGAAGTTATAGGACATTTTCCCACACTATTGAGTGCATTTCGTCATCACTTTCCTTATTGCAATTACATTTTAAAAAATCTGATCTTTGGGGGAAGTAGGTTTGTTGTGCAAGAGTTCCAAATAAACTTTCATTGTGCAACTTGAATTTGCCGGTATGTGACTGAATCCCACCCAAAACCAGCAACACTCTGCAAGTGCTTTGGCTCTATATTAAGGTGCTATATGACCTACATGCTGGCTTTCAAACAGATGAACATGACTACCCCTCTGGAAATAAACCCCATTGAAGTTGGTGGAAACAAGGAGCTCTGCTCTTAATTTCCATTGCTACTAATGGTACCTCGAGACACCCTCTTTTATCTGGATTGCACCAAAGGAGTTGCAAGGGTGGGTCTCTACTGTACGCTGCATGTGCAGTGTCTAATTTCCCAGAATTCGGAGCCTTTCCTTTTCTCCTCTTCGGGGAGCAATAAAGCGGCTCCCGGGGCAGGGTCTAAAATAATTAACCTGAGCTATTCGCTTAAAGGCCTTACAACTGAGAGCTGTTTAACCGTGACCTGCAGCCTCCCAGTGACCTCTAGAACCTACTGGGAAATCTCTGAGGTGAAATGGCTGTTTATAATAAACAGTCAAGGGGTGGGAGAGTTCTGGAAAGGCTGAGCAGCGTCGGCCACTTTTTCCAGCTGGTCAGTTTGCTACAATCTGACCTCCAGAATTATGTGACCCCAGGACATCCTGGGATTGATTCTGGTTGTCATATCCCCCCTGCCCCTCCCCCGCTGTGTGTGCATATGCATTTCTCTGGTCACTTGGTTTAGTCAGGAGAAGAGCATTGTGAGATTGCAGCTATTCATTATTATTTAGCTATTCCGTTTTGGTTTTATATTGTACTCTCACTCTCTCTCTCAAGGGCTAGATGATATAACAGATACATTAAATATATAGATATGAAGTCAACATTTAAGCATACAAAAATAAACACAATTAACCTCCTAGCTGCTCAGTTGTAGCTACTGAACGACAGGCCAGGCAGAGAGGTTCTGCATTGCTTCTGGGATTCCAAGTGTGAAAGGGCAAAGCTCTGGGCAGATTTATAAAGGGATTTGTAAGTCAAATCAGCATCTAGAGCTGCGTTTGTTGGCATCGGTGAATATCCCTTTAGATAGCTGAAGAAGCAGGAAGCACCAAGCCTTCTTGTGCTCGTTCTCCAAAGATGACCAACTCCCTTCACCCCAGCCCAAATCATCTGGAGGGAGCCAGATTGGCAAGAAGCTGGGCTAGGCACTTTAAAGACTCACAACATGCATCTGCATATGCTAAATTTATATGTAAAGGTAAAGGTAAAGGTACCCCTGCCCGTACGGGCCAGTCGTGTCCGACTCTAGGGTTGTGCGCCCATCTCACTTAAGAGGCCGGGGGCCAGCGCTGTCTGGAGACACTTCCGGGTCACGTGGCCAGCGTGACGAAGCTGCTCTGGCGAGCCGGCACCAGCGCAGCACACGGAAACGCCGTTTACCTTCCCGCTATAAAGCGGTACCTATTTATCTACTTGCACTTAAGGGTGCTTTCGAACTGCTAGGTGGGCAGGAGCTGGGACCGAAGGACGGGAGCTCACCCCGCCGCGGGGATTCGAACAGCCAACCATGCGATCGGCAAGCCCTAGGCGCTGAGGTTTTACCCACAGCGCCACCCGCATCCCTGCAAATTTATATGTATAGACACCAGTTTAGGCCTCTGAGCAAATGAAGACGGTTGGTGAAGTCTCAATGGCATTGTGCTTTGCAGCATGCCTGGTTCACCAATAAGCAAGGGAAACAGGATTTTATTATTATTATTATTATTACTACTACTAATACTACTATTTAAAAAATGGGGTGGGAGGAAGGGCAGAAGGCAAACGAAAGATCTGGGGTTGCCCCACTCTACCCCACCCCCAGCATCCCCCTCACAAATGACCTTGTTATGATGGTGCTTGTGTTGATTATGGAAATTATGGAAATTTGGGAGTATTCCCTAACAATTCAATTTAGTTTAGCAATTTTGAGATATCCCTTTTGGGGGTAAAGCAGTCGCTTTCATTTAGTTTCACTTTCCTTTCTGTTCGTTAGTGATTGGCAGGCAGGAACCAGAAGGAGCATCCATTTGGCTCTGATATCAACCCTGTGGGAATATTATGATCATGAGGCCTGGAATTTGCTGACAATGGAGGTGAAGTTAGTGGTTAGCACAAGGCCCTGGAAACAGGGTCAGTACAGGATATTTTGCATACTGTCCAACTTTTTCAGACCCAAAACCGGAACACACGCCTTCCGAGGTGAGCTCCCAGATGAGTCCTGTGTCTCACTCTTGCCCTGAAAAAGTGCTTTTACCAGGGTGAGATCTCATGTGGCACCCAAAAATGTGTGTTTTGGGGCACTGGGCAAGATTGTGGCCCCACCCCCAAGCACTTTTTTGGGGTGACAGTGCAGTGTTAGAGCATGTGAGGTTGCAGCATTCAAAATGGCTGCCACCCTCTCATGTGAAAAAATTGGATGTCTCGGTTTTTTCCAGGGCACTTGGCAGATGTGTGTTTTGCTGGCTGAGGTGAAGGAAATGACAGCATCACCAACCCCTAAACAGAATCCAACTAGACTTGGAGCAGGTTAGTTTAGGGGGTTCAGAATAGGGCTACTTTAGGGGACTCCAGTAGAATCATGGAGGGCTGCCACCACCTCTGGCATCTGCCACCTGAGGCGACTGCATTACTCTGCCTAATGGGTTGGCCCTGCCTGGAAATCATGCAAATCAGCTTCCGTATCAGCCACTCATTTGATGCTCATTGGACAGGTTTTCCTTTACCTGGTTCTGACTGTTGATGCCAGGGAACTGACAGCTATTCTATGCAGGCCAAAGCTCATGAGTTTGTGATGACAGGAATCAGAACCAAATTTATGCCCGTCTCTCCTTTACATGTTGTTGGGGAGGATTTTGCTGGTTGTGCCAGATGACAGAAACAGTAAACTAGGGGGGTAGACAAGTGGACTCTCATGGACAGACCCATTCAGCACCAACAAAGCATTACCAGCTGGCTTCAGAAGACCCACAGGATGGAGGCAACCAATGTTTTGCCTTCCAGTAAGGAGAAGCTTCTCCATCACCTCTAAGGAAAGTTGGTTATTGGGGCCTGTGACTATTCCACTCCCCCAGAGATGGCAGGAGCAAAAACCTGTTAAGACAGCTGGACATGCCAAGAAGAACTTTCTCCTGAGTAATCATGTATAAGATTGGGACATTACAAGGCTTTGTGGATTTTTGTGCAGCCTGATCCATGTTCAGCCAGAAGTCAGTCACCCTGTGCAGTAAGGTGACAGGCTTAAAGGTGCAAATCTATTGCACTATCCGTGAATAAACCCAGGAATAAATACAGTGGGCCTTCCTTCTGTGTAAACATGAATAGGACTGCAATGAACATTAATTTTCTGATTCCCACCCCCACCCCTGAAAATCTAGGTAACAGCTTGGTTGTGGGATGTTCAGCTCCTTAGAGAATCAAGCTAAGCTCTTTGAAGGTTTCCTGATACTGGTTATTGATTAGTTCTTTGGAAAAAGCTAGTCTTGCTCAATGATGCCCTGTCTTGCTTCAAAATGCAGCATTTGAAAACATTTAGTCATCCAGGGAGAAACCAGCGTGGAAGCATTGCCAAGTATTTAAAGGCTTCAGGGCACAGGTCCACAACACAAATTTGAATAAATACATATATTTCTGCCTCTGGTAAATTAAGTCGGTGGGTGGCTGGGATCTCACAGGCACTGTGATTTGTAGCACAACTAACTGAGCGATGTAGCTCAGTTGCAGACTATCTTCTTGCTTGTGGAAGGTTCTAAATTCAATTCCTGGCACTTCTAGGTAGAGTTGCAAGAGAACTTCTAAGTGGCAAAAGGCTGAGGAGCGAGGCAGAAGATCTGGGGTCCTGGGCCTCCTGTAAAAAAGAAAGAAGAAGAACAACTGAACTGTTTCCAAAGCCCAAAATGAGAACATTGTTCTGTTTCATGAGTGGAGAGGGGCTTGGAAGGAGGTATGGTCCTGTTTAGAGAGGGGTGGAATTGAAAGGGAACCTAGATTGGAAGGATGGGACAGCGCCATGTCACTCTCCACACTGGAGAGTTGAGGGAGGGAGTGGGTGGATGATGAGGAAAGGCCACCATGGGTTGTGCAGCTCACTCCCTCACCCTCTGGCTCTCACAGCACTGCTTGCTTATTGGCAGTGCTGCCAGAGTCCTGGGGCTTCATCACATCTGGGAGCTCCAGAGACATCTTCACTGGGCCTGAAGGCCAAGCCAACAGTCACTGAGGCCTTAGGTTGTGCTGACTGGCTGGCGAAGCCACGGTCTCCAAGGGTTTTGCTGTCATCCAGCAGCTGGTCATCCTTGTATAGTCTTTGTTATTCTGGTGGGGTCTCTTAAGAATCCCCTCAACAATTCTATTCAGCTCATACACCATACTCTTTGGCCTCTGTGAAGATGGACATCTTTCTAATGATCTGATGTCCTCAGCCCGGTATACCTGAAGGAGCGTCTCCACCCCCATCATTCAGCCCGGACACTGAGGTCCAGCGCTGAGGGCCTTCTGGCGGTTCCTTCACTGCAAGAAGTGAGGTTACAGGGAACCAGGCAGAGGGCCTTCTCGGTAGTGGTGCCTGCTCTGGCGCCCTGCCATCAGATGTCAAGGAAATAAGCAACAATCTGACTTTTAGAAGACATCTGAAGGCAACCCTGTTCAGGGAAGTTTTTAATGTTTGATGTTTTATTGTGTTCCTAATATTCTGTTGGGAGCCACCCAGAATGGCTGGGGAAACCCAGCCAGATGGGTGGGGTATAAATAATAAAATTATTATTATTATTATTATTATTAGTCACAAGATAACCATCTATGCAGCTGCAACCTCAGCCCAGACCCCCCAGAGAGAGGAAGGAACTCTGGGCCTCCTATTAACAACACCCCCTAATCTCTAGGGCAGGAGAAAGAGTTAAAAAGCTCTATATTAAAGATTTCCCCCCAAAGGTCCAGGCTACAATCTGTGGGGAAGGGGGAATTATCTCCACCATCTATTATGTGCAGGCATGGAAGAAGGTGAAATCAATGCAACCTCTGCGACATGGTAATATATGAATCATTCTGTCTTGCATAAGCTGGGATGAACTGAGGCCTTGTGGCAGATCCTGATTATTAAGTCCAATGTTGCCAAACTGTAAATTCTTTGGGACAGACTCTTTTATCGGGAACATCACAGCGAGGATGGGAAATAAAGGATGGTGACATCACCCTAAGGACCAATGAGGATCTCCCAAGTGGAAGTGTTGTATAAGCCTTTGTCGGTGTCTTAAAGGCTGCCCTACATAGCCTGTCGGATACTCTTGGATCTCAGATGCACCTGTGAAATGATTGCAGGTGCTTGAAGTGGGCGTGGAGGTTTCACAACACCTGTCTGCAGCATGCCTGTGACGGGGCACACCAGAGCTGGAGGAGCTAGGATTACAACATCCAGCTATGAAAGCAATTCAGCCACAGGGAGGTTGGATAACCTAGTATTCCCCATCATCAGTACCACCATCAGCATCTTTTCCCAGCCCAGGAGATGGTTCATATCTTTGCCTATTTGACACAGGACTATTTGCTTCTCTAAGTGGCACGTTTTCCCTGCTCTGAAGATAATAATATAAGAATCCTTTCTCCTTGCCCAAATTGATATCGTTACAACAATACCAATGTGAGAAGGCTTAGCAGTTAAGGCTGCATCCAGGCCAGCCTTTTACTGTTGACTTCCTAATGAAAGAAGTTTGGTGTTAAATCTATTTGCCAAATGCATTGATGGGAATATCTCAAGCAGGGCCAATCCAAGGTCTGTATATTTATTTACAAACAAAATGTTTGTTTTTCCACTATCCTGAGCAAATGGAAGTTTTCTTCCTCCCTCTTTCCCTTGTGTCTTGCTGAATGTTGAGCAGCAACAAAATAAAAATGACAAATAAGGAAACAGTATGTGCCAGTCATCTCAGGAATTAGCTATACACAACTCTTCTCCACATTAGTTACATCTGGCCCAAGGGTGCATAATCTGTGTCCCTCCATCTCCCATCAGTCCCAACAAGCAGAGTCAGGAACAATGGGGATTCAGTCTAAGAGCATCTGGAGGGCCACAGGTTCCCCAACCCAGAGGGGGGACTAAATATGGCTGCCAGATTCCTACAAGCTATCATTAACATGGATTATAATTCTCATTTCCTCCAGAAGTTTGCCTGAAAAAGGAAAAAGGGCAGGCAGTAGCTCTTTTCCCAAGGCATTTATGATTTCTTTAGCTGAGGCAGAAACCCCATAAATGTTGGCACCCTAGGCCTAGTTTTTAGACTCTTAATTATCTTAATTAGACACTTAATTAGATGCTTAATTCTCTTAAACCCACCCGCTTTTCTAGATGGCTAATGTATGTTACTTCACTTACTTGAATTACTTCAAAATTTGGTAATCCAACTCTTCTTCACTTGAGGGCTCTTCTGCTTTGGCAGCTGGCTAGCTTGCTTCTGTGGTTGGGCCAACCTTGATCTCAAGGGCGACCACAAGTGGTTCTGGAAACTCCTAAGACTTGGAAGTGGTGACAGTCACAGCACCATAGTAAAACTCCAGCATGAAATTAGGCTTTCAGGTTTCAGCCTAGGCCTTCTGTAAGACCATATTCTCCCATACTATCCTGCCTAGATTCGTGGGAGGCCCTTCTTCAGTCCCACCACCCTCAAAAGCATGCTTGGTGGGAACATGGGAGAGGACCTTCTCAGTGACTGCTCCCAGATTTCCTAGAGAAGCTAGATGTCAGGAATCTGGCTCCCTCCTTGTCCTTTCATCAGCAGCTGAAGATTGTTTTGTTCCGAAGGCCTTTGGGAAATGACCACTTTTTGAGGAAAGGGCTTTGAATAATGCCATGCTGTTTTTACTATCTGTATTTTAATAGATCCCCCCCTATTGTTTGAATCTTTTAGAGTTCTTTTTAATAATTACCTTTTTATGGTTTTAGCTTTTGTCTTTTATCTGTGTTGTTTTATTTTGTATAAGCCGCCTTGAGTCGCAGTTTGGGAAAAGGAGGGGTATGAACCAACCTGGACCATCATTTGAGGCTCTTCTTCATGTGCCCGCCCCGTGGGAGATTTGGAGGGCAGTAAACTGAGAATGGGCCTTGTCAGTGGTAGCTCCCATTTGTGGAATGTTATCCCCAGGGATACTCACCCGGTGCCACCCTAGGTTTTAATGCATCTTCGTGTGGGGTTTTTTTGTTTAATTGTTTGCAAGTCAGTTTCAGTTGCCATGGGCAAGATAATGTGACTAACAAATTTATTATTATAATATTATTATTATAAATATAATAATGAGGGAGATGGGGCAAATTATGAAGAAGCATCGCTAGAGCTGCATGCATGAAGCTGAAACTCCAAGCTGCTTGCAAGGGGGTTTCAGTTGCCTGGTGCATAAGTTTCTTAGCTGAGCATCAGCTGTGGGAGGCTGGAGGGGGTATCAGCCAGCTCCCAACCAGCTGTTTTTGACCTGACACTCAACCACGAGACATGCAAATCTCCTAGCAGCGTTGGTTGCAATAAGCTGGTGGAGATGCCATTTGGTTCCTCCCAGACAACACTGAACCGGGTGGCCTGCCCTGTAAGCCTTTCCCCAGCCGGTGCTCAGCTTGGAACTTTGCATGTCTCCAGCTGAAGGCTGCTGTGGCGGAAGCTGGCAAGGAGCCCAGTTGATTCCTGTCAGCCAAGCTCATGCTGCCAATTCACCTGTGCTGCCTTCTGGGAAGCAGGCCGAATGTTTGCAAATGTGAGAAATGCAACTGCTAGCCATCGCACACAGCCTTGCTAGTGATACCGGAAGTGGCTGCAAGGTGCAGGTGGAACGCGGAGCACAGTAGCTAACACTGAGGTTTCTGTGGCAGCAATATAAGGTGAAATGGGGAGGGAGGGGAGGGAGCAAGGGTGAGAAGGCTGAGTTTGATGGCAGAGTTCAATCTGGCTTTTTTAAAGCCCTGCCAGGTGTCTCCAGCAAAGAGGTCCAGGCAGTAATAAAAAGAAATCCGCCAGTGCAGGCTGGCTCCCTTTGGGTGTTTTGAACTACAACTCCCATCAGCCACAGCCGCCGCATTAGTGCACCCTCCTCGGGTCCCACCCTTCGCCCTGATGTGCTCACACCTAGTAGTGGTCTGCGGTCTCTAGCCCCTTTTAAAATCAGGTGCTGGTTTGCAAGGAAGAAAAGGCTTGTCGGCATCGTGCATTGTGATGAACCGAATGTGCCAAGATACTACTGTCTTCCAGTTACTCAGCTCCCCTACACCCTGCCCTGAAGGTGTTCCAAAGCGCTACTACCCTTGCAATACTCTTGCCATTCCAGTCCTGCTTCCTCCCACAGCCCTGACAGACTTTCGCCATCTTCTCCACCCTCTTCCCCGCCCCGCCATGGCGACAGTGAACTTCAATCTTGATTTCCCATAAAGTCTGCTCTTTTCCACAGTGACTCATCCCTGTTTCTCCTCCTCCTCCTCCCTCAGTTGTATACATTTCAATGAAACTTAAAACACGCACATTTGGGTGACAGGGATGCAAGAGAGAAAACTGCAGCATTTATTGCTGAAGATGTGGTTCTGGCCCTCTTTTGGTATCTGCCAGGAGGTCCCCAAACTTGTGTCAAGGGAAGCTCTCTGCACAAGGTCCCAGGTTCAATCCCCAGGGTCTCTAGGCCCAAAAACTATCCCTGGCCTAAAAGCCTGAAGAGCCATTGCTAGTCCCTGTAGACAATACTGAACTAGATGGACCAATAGGCTGGCTCAATATAAGTCAGCTTCCTCTGGGATATAACCAACTAATGTCTACTCAAACTAAACCCATTGAAATTAAAAGCTACAATTCTCAGAATGCTTTAACAATCCACCCAGCTTCCTGGGGAACTCTAGGAACTGTAGCTCTGTGAGGGGACTAGGGGTATCCTATGAATTCTCAGCACCCTTAACAAACTACAGTTCCCATGATTCTTTGGCAGAAGCCATGGCTGCTTAACATGGCATCGTGGTGCTTTACATGTATAGTGCCTGAGTGAGACATTTCTGAGGAAACACACACAGTATCTTGTTGGGCTACAAGGAAGTCACAAGCCTAGAGAGGTGAGCAAGGTTACCCAGCCAGACTCCTGCACAATTAAAATGGGAGTGAGGCGTGCACACATGGCATTACTTAGCAGACAAATGCTGCAGTCTAGGCACGACATGCTGAAAGCTGGAAAGTATCCATAAAACGTGAGTGCCTTGAAGCATGTGCAGAGTGTTTTCTCCTCAACATAATTACAGCTAAGCCCTAAGCATCCTTCCAGGCAAGGTCATGCACTAGCACCTCCACTTTCAGAAATTAAGCACTGCCCTCGATTAAAAAAATTAAACAACACTAGTGGCATTTTACCAGAAACACTGTGTGTATGTAGGTCTAAATAAATAGTCCCTGTATGTAAGACCTCCTGCAGCATCCAAACAACATAGGAAGCTGCCTTATAGTAATTCAGGTCACTGATCTATCTAGCTCAGTATCATCAATACTGAGCAGGGTTTCAGATAGGGAGTCCTTCCCAGTCCTACCAGGAGATGCTAGGATTGAGCCTGGGACATTTTGCATGCAAAGCTGATGATGAGCTAAATGGCTGCTTTCCCATTTCCTAATCCATATGCTCTATCCGACTAGGTAAGGGTTATGGTCAGCAGAAAGCACCTTCCCCACTAAATGTTGCTTTCACGAGTCCTGAATTTATTGGCTACAAAGAGGAAGCAATGGGTGGGGGGATAAACAGATGTAAGACCAGAAGGATCAAGGACAGAGAAAATAAAAGATTGCACAGGTTGGACTTGCACTTAAAACAACAGTGGGCAATCCTGTTGATGCATCTTGGGCCTCCCCATAGGATATTGGGTTTGTGGGATGGGTGCTCCTCATGCATGCCTGGGTTTTGGAGTAGCATAATCCATGCAACATCATTGGCATGTGATAATAACCTGTTTGCAATAGTAAGCCCCCATCTAGAAGCACCTTTACACAAGTGTTGCTGAAGTTCTGTTGCTCCCCCCACCGTTAGAAACACAGATATCTGCTTATTTCACTGTTGTAATCTTCTAGGTATTCTTCATTCACCTAGATTTGCTGCTGGACCTGATGACATTTCCCTGCAGAAATGCTTGGAAACAATGATCTAATTGTTAAACAAAATGTTTTCACACTGTGTGCAAAACAGAGTGGTGGGGAGGGAGAATTGCTAGGTCAAAACTACTCAGATTAAATTCAGCGGAGCAAACCACTGTCTTATGCCTCTCCATATGTGTCTGGTTTGTCTAGCCATGAAAGAATGTGACCACACAGGAGTGAGAATGACTTTCTTTGTTGCAGTCATACTGTGCATGCAACCTGGAAATTTATGGCAAGCCCGACAGGCCAGAATCTGCCAATATAACCACCATGTTAATGAAACCAGCAATAAAAATTACAGATCAAGACTAGATGGGCACTGAATATATGGCAGGGGGAACCAGGAATAATGCCCTGTTAAGGGAAAGGCACAAGTTCACATTAGAGTTAAGCAGTTGGATGAAAAGTTATCTGTTCATAGAAGAAAATAGAAAAAGATCTATTCTTGGATAAACCATTCAGAAAGGAAACTGACACCAATGACATAAAAGAGATCCTAATCTTGACATCTACACTTAATTACAAAGCAGGGCAAATAACTACAAATGAAGAACAACCAACCCATGGAACTCTCTGCCTCAGGTTATTGTCAAGGCAAGGAGGTTGTGAGATTCAAAGGAGAGTGAGTGAGATGAGCACCCTCATATTAGTTGGGATGGGCACTGCAAAGGCTCTGGGTGTTCAGGCTTCAAGGCATTGGGTGATCTCTCGCCATCTGGGAGTCAGGGGAGCAGTTCTCTGCTTCTGACGGGATCTCAGCACACAATGATGGGCTTTTATCAAAGCTTTGCACTTCCTCTAAAGCCTCCTGCACAGAGTTATGTCAGAGACAGGATGCAAGGCTAAGATGGCTCTCGCTCTCTTCCAGCCATCGCAGCGCTCCTAAGAGAATGATTCAATATGCATAATTACTTTTCCAAAAGGTGCTTAGAACCAATAACCTGTCAGGCGTAAATTTGATAATACTCTTTACGGTCCACCTCTTCTGAGTGCACCCAGTTGCACATAAATCAGTTGTCTCTATATCAAGATACTTTTAGGGAGGGCTACGTTTGGCCAGAGTTCCACATCTTTTTTTAATATCTGTTTTGTTTATTTCTCAGCGCAGGCGACCTTGTGTCTTTGTTTTCCCTGCAAATGCTGGACTTACAGGGAGAAGCCCCTATACATATGGGAACCCCATAAGAAAATAGACCTATAGGGACATGATCCCTGTTGGGTAGGGGATCCCATTTTGAGTCTTGGTTTTCTCTTCACTAAACAGTAGGAAAAGGCATGGAAATGTATAGATACAGTGGTACCTCGGGTTAAATACTTAATTCATTCCGGAGGTCCGTACTTAACCTGAAACTGTTCTTAACCTGAAGCACCA